GGAGTAGGGAAGCGCGGGATGGAAGAAAGGAGGGGAAAAATAGGGAGGAAGAGGTGGGGAAGGGGCATGCTGTTGGGGAGGAAGAGGTTGGGGAAAGGTGAGGGAGGGAGGGAGAGAGGGGATGTAAGAAGGGATGGGGAGGGATTTTCCTTATAGGGGAGGAAGAGGGTGGGGGACTTTTAGGGAAGGGTAGAGGTGTTTCGGGAAGGATGGGGAGGTATGGGAAAAGGATGGGGAGGTGGGGAGGGGGTATATTGTTAAGGGAGGAAGAAGAGGGGAGGGAGATGGGGAAGGGTGAGGGAGAGATGGGAAGTGGGATGGTTGGGGAGTGGGGGGGAGGGGGTACGTTGTTAGGGAAAATGGAGAAGGGAGAAGGGATGGGGAGGGGGGATAGAGGGAGACGGTTGGTGGGGGGGGAGTATTACTTCAGGGGAGAAAGAGGTAAAGGTGAGGTCGGGGAGTAAGTATGAGGTGGATGGTGCTTACAGAGGAAAGAGGGAGGTGGGGAAACCACGGGAGGGGAGGGGGAGTGAGGGTATGAGATCAGAAGAGAAGGGAAAAGAAGGGAAGGAGATGGAAGGAGGGGAAGGGAGGGGGACCTTCTGTTGGGGAGGGAGGGGACCTTCTTGGGGAGGGGAGGGGAGGGGAGGGTGATAGGGGAGAGGGCAGCGAGAGGCTAAAGGCTCACTGAGAAGAAGGTGAAGATTGAAAAAGTTTTAGAGATTTATTCACCGGAAAGATGAAGAAAAGGAGAGAGAGAAAAAAAAATATATTAATGGAAGGCAGAACTAACAAATTTTCCGCGCCTTTATTTAGAAATATTTAAGATTATGGAAAAAAAGAATATCCATAAACCAAGATACAACTTGTGCAAGCATACCTACATACATCGTGTATTTGTGTTTGTGTATGTGTGTTTATGTATATATGTATGAATTGCAACAGGAACAACGAAGGGAAGGACAAGAAAAAACACGAATATGCCGAAGGCCTTTTCGCTAATGCTTCGTCAGGGCATACGTGACAAGGGGTACATAGAGGAGTATTTATACAAAAGTGAGGTGGTCAGGGCACGTCGGTAATCATGTATATTAGAAAAAACAAACTTTCTACTTGTTCATTATAAGAACATGAAAAATATATGAAAAACTTGAGAGAACATGAATCAGTGAAGGAAAGAAGAAATATAAGAAAAAAGAAAGAGAAGAAGAAATTAGACAAAGGAAAAACAAAAGGGTTACCGAAAAAAAGGAAAATAGATATAGAGTAAAAAAAAAAGAAAGAAAAGAAAGACAAAATGAGAAAATAATAAAAAAGGATAAAAAGAAAGAGATTAAGAAAATGAGATTACAAAAAGAACAGAGCAAAAGAAACGAATTACCACCCAATGAGATTAGACAACAAAAAGCAAAATAAATAAATAAAAAAATGAAAAAAAACATATATAAAGACAAAGAAAGATTTTCCTCATTCTCACCCTCAAATACCGTGACAGATAACCCGAATACCTGAAGCCAAAAGGGAAAAAGAAGTAGAATTTATGAGATATATTTAGACAGCCCCAAACAGCGTGGAGTTCAGCTCTTAAAGGGCAGGAGACCGAGCCAGGACATGCATGTTTAAAGGAGATATGGACACGTTGCCGATCCCTCTCTCCCTCTCTCTCTCTCTTTCTAAATCTGTCTCCTATCTCTCTCTCTCTCTCTCTATCTATCTATCTGTCTCCTATCTCTCTCTCTCTCTCTCTCTCTCTCTCTCTCTCTCCTCTCTCTCTCTCTCTCTCTCTCTTCTCCTCTCTCTCTCTCTATCTCTCTCTCTCTCTCTCTCTCTCTCTCTCTATCTCTCTCTCTCTGTCGATCTCTATCTAATCTCTCTCTCTCTCTTCTCTCTCTCTTCTCTCTCTCTCTCTCTCTCTCTCTCTCTCTCTCTCTCTCTCTCTCTCGTCCTCCATCTCTCTCTCTCTCTCTCTCATCTATGCTAATCTCTCTGCTCTCTCTGTCTCTATTCTCTTTCTCTCTTCTCTCTCTATCTAATATCTCTTCTCTCTCTCATCTCTCCTCTTCTCTCTCAGCTCTCTCTTTCTCTCTCTCTCGCTCTCTCTCTCTCTCTCTCTCTCTCTCTCTCTCTCTCTCTCTCTGTCTCTCTGGTCTCTCTCTCTGTCTCTCTCTGTCTCTCTCTGTCTCTCTCTGTCTCTCTCTCTCTGCTCTCTCTCTGTCTCTCGCTCTCTCTCTCTGTTTTTGTATCTCTCTCTCTCTCTTCTGTGTGTCACTCTCTATATCTGTCTCCTATATCTCTCTCTCTCTCCATCTGTCTCTGGCTCTGCTTCTCTCCACCATCTCTCTCTTTGTCTGTCTATCTGTCTCTGTTTCTCTTTCTGTCTGTCTTTGTCTTTCTCTCTTTCTCTCTCCATCTATCTTCTTGTCTCATCCTCTCTGTCTCTCTGTCTCCGTCTCGTCTCGTCTCTGTCTGTCTGTCTCTCTCTCTTCTCTTTCTCTCCTCC